TCCGATTAAATGCGGCAGAGAGATAATTACAAAAAATTAAAAATATGGTGGTGCTGGAGCCTAACTAAATGACTGGAATAACATGATCGGTATAAGAGTCGCATGCCAAGGGTCTAACCAAAGTAATAAGTAATGTAAAACTGTACAAACTAATTAAGGTAGAGAGATCACAACAATTTATCAAGGTGATGATGACAAAACAAGAGAATAAGGAAGATTTTACAGACACAGAACAGTGTGGCAGGGTCACACGTAGCGTGGCATGAACCCAAGATCATGGTTGAGGCCATCTTCGTGGGTACGGGACTTGGCTATCAGTCTCTTCTTGACGATCCTGCATTGTTGTGTATCTCGAAGTCACATTGGAGGACGCTTACCGAAAAGATCAGAAGCTGAATGTCCTTGACTGCTGAAGTGTTACCTGACTGGGAGGGAACGTCCCTGTCTGGCAATTGTTGTGCGGTGTATTCATCTGTTGTCGTAGTGTCTGCATGGTTTCGCCAATATACCAAGCCTCGGGGCATCCTTACCTGCAACATATGAGAGACAACATTGGCCGAGTCACATGAGTATTTGCTGTGTACGTGGTGGGTGAGGTTTCCTTCTACTGTGGCTGAACCTGTCTTTCACTGGAATCTCTCAGACTCCACTGGTTTAAGAAGCAGCCTGGATCACCACTTTTGTGAGGGCAACTGAAGGTGCAAATTAATTCCCCCTTGCCAAAAACACACAAACATTTCCAGTAATTTTTTTTTTAATCAAGTGCATAGTGATAGCTCAAAGCCTCCAGGTTCTTTTTTAAAGAAAAACTTCTGTGCGGCTGGACACAACAAATAAATGAAGTTTGTTCATGGCCTGCTCAGGAGCTTTCAGGTTGGAAAGATTGCTGAGAAACACTCAATCCTCAGAAAAAAAGATGTGTTTAAAAAGAAACATCCAGAGGAGCAGTAGCTTTGGAGAAAACTTGATTAATTTCTTTGCTAACTTCTAGGGCCAGTTAAACGCAAGCAATTTGCTCAGTCAACCCTTTCTCTAACAATATACAATGATTAGTTTTTACGTACAAGAGGCACTGAGGAGTATTTAATAATATAGAATGTCTGCACTGGCCTTTTCAAATAAAAGAACCATGTTTCCTAAATAAGCGTCTCTCCAGGGAAAAGGTGTACATTTCTCAATACTTTAGAAAACAGGCACGAGATGTTTATTTAATCTCTCTGTGGCCTCATTCCTTCCTACCTCTGCGATCTCTCCACCTCACGCTCAACTCCGACACAGTTGACATTCTAGTCTTGTCACGTGGTACATAATTTAGCCAACTTGTCGATTCAGAGGTAGTAGGAACTGCAGATGCTGGAGAATCCAAGACAACGAGGTGCAGAGCTGCATGAACACAGCTAGCCAAGCAGCATCATAGGAGCAGAAAGGCTGACCCTTCATCAGAAGGGTCTAGGCCTGAAACGTCAGCCTTTCTGCTCCTATGATGCTGCTTGGAATGCTGTGTTCATCCAGCTCTGCACCTTGAGGATTCAGCCAGTTAGACTGTGTATGTTACTTCCACACTTGTACACCATGTTCAGTTCCACTATCTGCATTGTTCCATTGGCCATCTGTTGTTATTGTTCACAACTGTCCTCCTCTTGTATGTTTATGACTGGTGTGTTCCTGTAGACTTTGCTTGCTCTGTGCATTACATTGTGCAGAGGTCCTATACATAGTGTGAGACACCAGCAGATATAGAGTAGCTTCTAGGTAGGAGTCTAGAGCCTGGCATGCATCTGATTTAGTCATCCAGCCTTGGCAATAGGCTGAGGACTACGTCGCAGCAGTGTGAATGACGAAGGAGCCAAGTTGACCCAAAATGTGAACTCAGTTTCTCTTTCCGCAGATGCTGCTAGACTGGCGGAGTATTCCCAGCATTTTCTCCTTTTGTGATCACCTGTGCAATTACCGGCCAGACGTTGTGAGATCCAAATGCTGGAGTGCACAGAACAAGGTTTCAACATGTTCCATGCAATGTGCTGTTACCCAGCTGACAGGCACTTGGAACTATTTTTGAGAAGCGTTACGCGTTTAAAATTCAATGTATTTCAGTAACTGATGGTCCATCCAGCCACTGCGACATTGGAACTGATTGAAATCTGAGCAGCACGCTGGGGCCTTTGGAGCTTTATTATTCTGGATTTGCAAACACTTTACTGGCACTTTGGCTGTTTCGAGATGACACAACTACTTGCGGTTCTTTGTCAGTGTGCTATCTGGTTAGTCTGTTCAGTGACTTGTGGTGCTGAACATCAGTAAAGTGATCTGTCTCTGTTAGCTAGAATGTGAAATATCATTCATGACCCATTCTTTTCATTCCTGCTACTGAACTGTGCAAGTTATAAATTCCTGTTAAGCAAGTGCTCCTTTTTTTTAGCCCAAGAGTTAGACATTTTGTCCATCCAAGTTACAGTCTCTTTCTGTTTACCCCTTCTATTTGATTTTACCAAACATTTAGAACCAATAGAAAATGATGAAGGAACTCGAGTCAATTTGTTATTGTTGGTTTGGGGCCAAATACTGTCCATTAATAGCTGTATCTGTCCCATCATGTTGTGAACCCCTATATGACATTTAACAACATACATATTTGGAACACTACTTCAGGACCAAGTGAGATGGGACAGTACAGACTGCTTCAAAACAAACTTGGACCCGATGCCTGCAAAACTGACCACTCATATGATGGATCTCTCAAGTAGTTAACAGGAAACAGTCATTTCGGAAACCAACGCAGAAATCCCAGCTCATTCTTCACATTGATCCTAAGGGCATTTAAATGGCATCGGGACGGTTACGTGAATAGGAAGGGTTTAGAGGGATGTGGGCCAATGAGACTAGATTAATTTAGGACTGTCTGGTCAGCACAGACAAGTTGGTCCAAAGGGTCTCTTTCCATGTTGGACAACTCTATGACTCTGTTGTGGAGTTCCAGAAGAAAGCCGCCCACTGACACTTGGCACCTGGGTTGAAAAATAGAAAATATCAGGCCCCATTTTTCCAATGTCACCTTCTGATGCAAGCTTCTATTCAGTCTTGCAGTTTATTAACCAACAACTTAGGACAAAGAAAAAAATTGCAAAAGTATGTGGTTTGCAATTCTTGTTGTTGATTTGGAGCTCAATATCATTTGCCCATGAACAATCTTCACACCTTTCCCCTCCCCCAAGGTCACAGGAACTGAGAGAGAATACAACTCCTGGATGGACTGAATTATATGAAGAGGGGTGGGCATGGGATCATGGATCAGTTTGGCTTCAGTGTTACGTCCTATAAGCAAGCGAGGGCCTCTGACTTGAAACACTTCCATACCCTCCGATTTATTCCATTTGAGATTTTTACATGTGTTTGTGGATCATACACAATTTTCTGTGAAAGCTGCATATTCGCTGTCATGTGAATAGGGAGGATTGGAGACCGGGAGATGAAACATTCTCTGGGAGAGAGAGAGAGACACTCGTCGGGGAAAACAATCACTTTGACGTGGGAGGAGGTTAATGTTGATCATTCAGTACCACCTGAAATAGTCACTGATGCCTGAATCCTAAATGCTCAGACTTTCTGTGCAGCCCCGCGTACAGAAAGAAAAATGCAAGTATTCATAATACAATCCCCTTTTCTGCACTAGAGTAAATGAGAGATTTTATCGATAATTTTGAGAAGTATTCCCCATGTGAGAAATTCAACAAACGACAGTCAGTAAACTCGTGAGCTCCTGATCCATGCCTTTTTTTTTAATCAAGCAAAGGACTGGCTTTCTGAGCAGGAATTGGTATTTTCACTGTTTCAGTTCTCCCTTTGAGTACTACACATACAAGTAAGAAGTAACTTGCTCTGGATAATTCTCTAATCTCATATCTACTAACCGGCTGCCTGTTTTAAAAACTGAAAGAACTGTGGCTGCTGTAAATCAGGAACAAAAACAGAAGTTGCTGGAAAAGCTCAGCAGGTACCCACCTGCCTATTTTAACTGGGGACACCTCTTCTGGAAGCACTCCCTGTAGCCTGGACGAGGGAGTCCAGTCTGATCTCGACATTGATTTCCCTGACAGTGCTGCTGTGACTCATCTCAGCTGGCCCACCAATGTGAGTTTTGTATTACAGCAATGGAAACCAGGCCTTTCGGCCCATCTCGTTGCCCACCGGCCTTTCATTGCTTCCTACTCCTCCCACTGTCTAGTGGCAGCCTCAGTAAACAAAAGGTACAGATGCAGATTTGGGCTTGGCAATGGTGCTGCCCATAGTTGAGCAGCCATGCTTCTGTAAGCGTTGGCTTCTTTCCAGCTGGCAATCCCAGGAGAGGCGAACCAGAAAGCAAGGAAACTGGACAGTGTAAAAATGTAGCATGATGATTGGCGCACAAATCTTTTGAGAATGGCTCACCTGATCAGTGATCCAAATTGAATTGCGCTTACAGAGGTGGTAAAGGGGATGAATGAATTCTCAAAAATTTTAACCACTTGTTTGAATCATGAACTTTCAAACTTGTATTTCAGTGCTCAAAGGGAAAGGGTTCATCCATTCCCCTCCATACACACTCTCACACACTCACATACTCCCTCACACACACACTCCCTCACACACATACTCCCTCACACACATACTCCCTCACACACTCACACACTCCCTCACACACACACACACTCACACACTCCCTCACACACTCACACATACACCCTCACACTCACACATACACACTCACACACTCACACATACACACTCACACACTCACTCCCTCACACACTCACACACTCCCTCACACACTCCCTCACACACTCACACTCACACACTCACACACTCACACACTCACACATACACCCTCACACACTCACACACTCCCTCACACACAAACAGGATGCCCTGATCAGTATTGTTGCAGCAGAAGAGCGATGTCAATGTAACAATAATTCCAGTCTGGCCGCAATGATGTCAGTTCTTTGTCTCCGTACACTTTTCAGGTAAAGAGCCTGTGGACAAAATGCAAATAAATGCCTCACAGACCTCCATTGTGCTAAAGGGCTTGTTGCCAGCAACAGTTTACAGAGTGCGAGTTATTGCCGAGAACCAGGCGGGCCAGTTGCGGAGTAAGGACGAACGGTTTGAAACCCGTCCACCAGGTGAGGCAGTGAGTGGAAGAGCAGCTGGCTCGGGCCTCCCTTCCTCCTGACTGACTGACCTGGACTAGCTGTGGGTGGGCCATGGGGCTGACTGTGTGAATCCCAGAGCCAGTTTGTGCCAATGTGGTCAGAGCTTGAGGTGCTCTTCTTGCTTCAATGGATCAGTCAAGTTACCCTTTTGTTTTAGAGCAAGTTGAGGGTTGTTTCGATTGACCATTGTCAAAGCTTCTCGAGTCGTTTTGAAACGGGGCGCTAGTCTCCCCATCATTGAGCACGGACACTTGGATCCCTGTTTCACAAATTCCGCTGGTGAGAGTGATTTCTGCCCCAGAGGCAAAATCTTGAAATCGAGAGCTTGGTCCTTTAAAGGGTTTGTCAGTGGGAGTGGAAATCTGATGCCGTATCCATCACCCAAAAGATATGGGGGATTAGTTGAAAGTTTTAAAACTGAAATTGTTGGGATTTTTTTGAGGGGTCTAACAATATTCGAGGATATGGAGTGAAGGCAGGTAAATACAGTACTTGATACACACCAGACACGATCTGTTTGAGTGACAGAAGTGGGTTGCTGGGCTGAATGGCCTACTTCAGTAGTCGACACTGGAACTACTATAATGAAAGACTATGGGATGTCTGTGTGTGGAGGCCGTGTACTTGTCAAGGCCTAGTGGACGTTGCATGTAGGATCGCTGGTTTGTGGCTCATGTTGGTTTTATCGTATGGTATTGCTGGTTGCTTAATCAGAGAGCACATTGTACAGTTCCAACCAGCTATGTAGCTTTTATCATTTATACAAACTAAGAATGATTTGCCTTGACAACTATGAAGTGGGTCAACTGAACCCAGTGTTTGTAGCCTTGCTGTAGGAAGGGGAAGGGCGTGAGGTTTTTGTATTTGTCCAGTCTTAGGATTCATTAGGTAGCTTTGTCTGGCTCAATACGCTCCCGACATTTCTTCACACTGGGGGCCTTGTCAGAAACGTTCTCTCCCACACAAAAGGCATAACTCAGCAGGATGTCTCCTGAGCCTGGTGCCCAAGATTGCGTTTCATCTGTTCCTCATTCACCCCTTGCTGAACCAACATTGACAGTTTTATGTAAGAACACCCACTCGGTAGTGAATGACGGCACTTTGAACAAATCAGCAAGTCAGCCTGACAGTTGCTAAATTTAAAATTTGGCACCCAGCAAAAAAGAAAGAGTCATGTTGATGCAGCCTGACCCGTTCGAGAGCATGTTGATCTGTTGGATCCTGCATTTTCAAGAGACAGTGTCCCTTATTCTATCACCTGCTCCAGTTGGGTTTCATAGCCACCAAATTAAGTCCAGTCTAATCTTGTACCACTTGACTGACACCGAGCTGTGTTGGCAGAGCTCCCAAACTGTAGTAATTATGAAAAATCCCAAGCTCACATTAGCTAGCCCACGAGCGGCTATTGAACCATGTGGGGCATCACTTCAGTAATGTGAATACACATTATTGCTTTTCCCCACTCATTGTATTCTAGGGTCATTCATCACAGTTCCAAAGGATCAATAGTATGAAAAAGAGGGAAGGAATGCTAATAATTTTTGACTAATTTTTTTTTCCCAATCTTGATAACTTAGCCTCTTCCCAGGGGAAAAATGTGACAATTTGAAAGCGGATAAAAATCTACAGAAACTTCCTTGAATACTTTATCAATAGTTGATCTCCTCTTATTCCTGTTTTGATCACTTCCCTGAATGGAGTTCCTGAATAGTAGTCTTTTTAAAAAGCCAGACCAGGTTAAGCTCAGCTAAACATCATTATTATTGCTTCAGATTTCCTGTGAGCAATGCCACGAGCGATCAATTCCTGGCATGTTAATTTTAACACTCAAAGCCTGTTGTAGGCGTATTGGGCTTTCTAATCTTCCTCTTTTCACTTTACTCTTGACATATCTGATTGCCACCCATCTCACCATGCCCCATAATTTCAGGGTGGTACTAGACCTGAAGGATGGAAAGTTCCTTCAGACCTCCATAAAGGATAACATAAAGACAAATAAAAAGGGATACTGTGTCTTTAACTCTTTCACTGGCCAGCTTTATTCACATGCTATCTTTTCCCGACTGATAGCTGTGAAGAAGCATTTCAACTTCTCTTTCATCTGATAACTACGCAAACTCTTGAGGTGCTTACAAGAATAAAAACGTTTACGGTACAGGTTTATGTGATTGTAACTTGTGGCCAGAGAAAGAGTTGGCATCGAGCCACAGAGCTTAGCACACGCCCTAAAAGTCTCCTGCATGACTCCTCAAGGCTCTGGTGATAGTTTTCTGGCATTTGAGTGTTGATGAGTGAAAGATTTAATGGGACACGTTGTGGCTGTGCAGTTATTGCTCGCTTGCGATTTTGATGAATGGCAGGAACATCTTTGAATCGATGCACCGCGGGGTATTGCTGTGTGCTGCTGCACCTTCTCCCTTTGTTCGACTGTTTCTAATTGTGTCAGTAGAGTTGCAAAATGCTTTGGTGCTGGTTGAGCTCCTTTTCGCTGGCCCGTTGTCATTTTCTCTGTCCTTCTTGCCTCTCTTTATTCCTTGCATGCTACTTTGTGACCTGTGCGTTGCCTTGTTACTTTGATTTCCAAAGCGAGTTTGCACTGTCACTGAATGTTCTGTGAAACTTCCACCGTATTGGATTGCATCCCCTCTCGCAGCAACGGTGAGCACAAAATGAGGCAAACTGAATTCAATCTCAGTCCGTAGGTTTGTTTATTTTGGAGAGGAGGAGGTTGGTATTGGTAATGAGACAATTACACCCCTGTTGTTTAATTCGAATCTTTGTTCTGTGAAAATTATATCAAGTAATCATGAAAATGGAAGCTTTCTTCACAAAAAGTGACAATGTTTGCTCCTCAAGCTAATAAAAACATGAAATGCTGGAGAAACTCAGAGGATTTGGAAGCATCTCTGGAGTTCTGAAGATGATGTGTTTTGGTCGTGAAACCTTCATTCTGTTTCCATGAGAGAAACAGAGCTAATGTTCATAGTGTGGCAGGACTCTTCTTTAGAACTCCACTGATGCTGCCAGATCGGAGTTCCTCCAGCATTTTCCCATTTTTATTTCAGATTTCCAACATCAGTATTTTGCTTTTTATTCGCGTGCTCTTCAAAGTGATTGCACTTGGAACGCTTTGTTATGTTTCTGAGAAATGTCGTGTAAAATTATCTCCATTTGCTGACTACTTCTCCATGAACCCTCATCTTCCAAGGTCTAGCTTCCCAGGTTAAACTTTACTTTCTCAGAGCCTTCGTAATGTTGTGCCTCTTTCACAAAGAATACAAGGTAAATGTTAATGCAATGCATCACAGAGATTATTTAGTTGATGGATTGTTTGTTTTTTTTCTGAAGAATTAATATGATTTAATTAATAAGACAACTCCTTCACGTTGTAGACCATTTCCTCTATCATGGGGTGGACAGGGCATGTTCAAACGCAATATTTGTGGCAGCCAAAGAGTATTTTGTTCTCAACTCCTGCCAGGGAACTGTAAAGCCATATTATGTCATTGCTGGATTCACCACACTCCTTACATCAATTGTTTCTGTTGGCGACTTAAGCAGCCAACTCAGTATTTAGACCCCCAGGCAAAAATGTAGCAGGAAAATCTCTTATAAGTTCGTGTGTGACTGCATTGTGTTCTTCTTCTAGAATTGCATGACATCTTATCTTCTTAAGGGTGCAATCACGTGTTGGGATATTGGTGTGATACAGATATATGGGTGGCATGATGGCACAGTGGTTCACACTGCTGCTTCACAGTGCCAGGGACATGGACTTGATTCCAACTTTGGCTGGCTGACTGTATGAAGTTTACACATTCTCCCCGCATCTGCGTGGGTTTCCTCCGGATGTTCTGGTTTCCTCCCCATGTCCAAAGATGTGCAGGTTAGGTGGTTAAATTGCCTGTAGTGCCCAGGAAGGTGTAGGCTAAACATGGAAATGTGGGGCAATGTAGGTGGGTCTGGGTGGGATGCTCTTCAGAGAGTGGTGTGAACTTGATCGGCCAAGTGGCCTCTACCGGCACCGTAGGGATTCTATGATTCTCAGTCTGAAGGTTTTGGTTTCCTGAGTAAACAAAGACAGACGTCCCCTCCTTAACTGCTGTTTAACGTTCCCTGCTGGAAAATGTGTTTGAGGATTTTTGTTTTTGGAGCTCCATCCTAACCATTCCCTCCTGCACTGTTGAATATGTGTTGACATGACAAGTACTGGCTGACTCAGTGCATGTATGTCGGATACTTCCAAGAGAAAGGAAGTAAAACTCCAACAACGACCATGGAAATGTCAGGACAGCAGACTAGAGGAGGTAGGTTCAAGACCCTGTTGGGCTTTGCTCGGGCAACAGTCAGTATCTTCAAGAAAGTAGGAGAGAAATTGTGGTGGGTGAGGGGGAGTGCAATTCATTAAACATCTCCTGATTTTGGAAAGAGCAATGTTGGCTTCGAGTGATCGTGGGAAATTTTAGCTGAGATGGTTGTTGCACATCTCTTCCTATTTTCAGTGAAATCTATGGAGTAAAAATCAGGAGCAATGTATAACAGCTGAACTGAGATCAAAACATTTTATACTGTTACTTCAGGCCAACATCAACATCTTACAAGTGATATTAAAAATTTTACACAGTGCTTTCACTGCAATGACTCACTTGCATATTGTACAGTTAAAGGCTGTGGAGTTACAGTTAGTTTCAGTTTTGTTAAAGTATTGCCAGGTCCATATTGTGTGCATATAAAATATTTTCAGCTTTTAATTATTATTTGTTTGTATGAGACAACCTATTTCCAATGCGCATTGAATTCAGAATTCCACACAGAAAATTCCCAGGGTCACCATCTCCCCTTACCCTCACTTGTTTCACATTTTAATCAATGTTTTCTCCCTCTCTTTCTTTCAAATAATCGGCCCCTCAGCCATGGCAAGCCGCCAGGTAGACATTGCCACCCAGGGCTGGTTCATTGGTTTAATGTGTGCCATCGCCCTCTTGATCCTGATCCTCTTGATTGTCTGCTTCATCAAAAGGAATAAAGGAGGCAAATATCCAGGTGAGTGCATCTTTCACAAGTCCAGTGTTCAGAGACTGTGGAAGAGTTTTTAATCACGCTAGTGCAAGAGAGTTATCTTGGCCTTCAAGGCAGTGCAGAGCATCATGTTAAATGGATGTTGACCGAGGAAAGGGCTGACAAGATTTTGTTCTTCAACTTTACAAAGGTACATGTAAAGGAGCCCTCCGGCAGGTGTGTCAGATCCTTCCTGGGCTGTGAAACTGTAATAATGATCAAGGGGATGTCAGGACAGCAGACAGGAGGACACGGGTTCAGGTTCACAATGGTCAACTTGAACAGCAGCACCATCAAAAGCAGCAAAGAAAATGGTTGCTACATGTCAGTAGCAAAGAGACTGGAAAGGGTTAGGCCATTCGAAAAAGGAATTACTTTTGACAATTCATCTTCATAGTATCACTGAGAATGACATTACTTTCTCTTTAGTCATGAGGCAAGGTAAATTACTCAGAAACAAAGAAACAAATCAAATACCGATGCTGGAAATCAGACACAAAAACAGAAATTGCTTGGAAAAAGCTCAGCAAGTCTGGCACCGTCTGTGGAGAGAAAGCAGAGTTAACGTTTTGGGTCCAGTGACCCTTCTTCAGAACTGAAGCCTTTTGTCAGTCCAACTGTTTTTCTGTTTCTTTGGGCTGTATCTCCACCTGTCATTCACTCCTAACCCCTTCCCCAGTTTTTCTGCATAAATACCAAGTTTCAAGCTACAATTAGTTCTGAAGAAAGATCACCTAGACCTGAAAAGTTAACTGTTTTCTCTATAGATGCTGCCAGACCTGCTAAGATTTTTCAGCAATTTCTGTTTTTGTTTTTTTGTATAAATTTGCACAGGATTGGGATCTCCTTTTCAGACACTAACTGAATCTCTTCCATCTTCCATCCTCCCCTTCTTAGATACAGATCTCACAAGAAGTGATCAGGATATAATTTTCCACTGTTTAGTGTTCTTCCACTGTTGTACAAGACAATTGTTACCTTAACACCACAAAATAAGACCTGCACATCAAGGTATAAAAGAATGTTTGGGCACTTGTGGCACTGTGGTATTGTCCTGACCTCTGTAGCAGGAGGCCTAGGTTCAAGTCCCATGCATTCCAAAGATGTGTGATAAAGTCTCTGTACAGGTTAATTTGGAAATATTTATAAAGGACTTCTCCTGAGAGAAGCTAACCAACGTTTTATCTGTTGAGTAGATTTGTGTTTTGCATCATGAGGATGCACGTTCAATTCTGTGAGAAGTAATAATGTGAATTCATGCTCAAGTTGATCCTCATGTTTCACAAGTGACAATCCTATAACTGAGGTCATAAAATTAGCTGAGTAATAAGTAAATCCTTTCCTGTTTAATCAGGATTGAGCCTGTCTTCTGCCCAAGATGTTGTATCCTTGTTTTGACAGTTTAATTAGCTTAGCTAATATCTAAAAGGAGGATTGGAGGCAGTGAATCTATCCATTGTTTTTAGTCAGCTGACACCCTACATTATAAGAGCTATAACCCTACTTAACAGTGCCTAAACACTCAGTTCTTTCATTTTGACTGAACTAGGGATTCGAGGAAAAGGTAACGATACAGTAGTTGTGACGAATTTGAGAATGTTTTGATTTAAGGTTGTAGCCAAGGACACTTGCGGCTAAACTGCCTGCTCTTACACACGTGGTATTGACAGTCCAGGTCAATATCGAGCACAGCTAAGCTGACTTAGTTTATTCTCTCAGTAACATTCCTCTTCCCTCACTCCTCTCTTTGCCACTCCTCCCTCCACTCCATCCCACCTTCCCTTCCTCTCCAGTCAACTCCACCTCGTTCCACCCTCCATTCCATTCCAGTCAACTCCACACCATTCTCAAGCGAGAGTTGTTTCTCCAAGTACAAAGCCAGGCACGACTTTAACGCATGCCCTTTTTTAAACTTATTAATGATTACAGTCAAGGAGAAAGAGGATGCTCACGCAGACCCCGAGATCCAGCCTATGAAAGAAGATGACGGAGCCTTCGGTGAATACAGGTGAGAACCTGCCCCGTACCCTGTCACCTGCCTCTCGGTACTACCCCCATTGAAGAGCTAGCCGGCTGACCAGAGTCCTTAGCCCTTGGACCCGCTGAATATAGTGAGCTTTGAAACTGTGAATGGTCTGTGTTGGGGTTGTGGCTTCTTTTTTAGTTGCAATATCTTGTTTCTTCCCACTTTGTAGAAAAATCTGAACTCTACATTCTACAGTGACTCCCTTATCCCGTAAATGTATGTGTAATCAATGTTTCATACGCCAATCCTTGACATCCCAATTTCATCACTTGAACTAAAACTGCTCTCTGCCTCTGACTTTGTACATTTTAATGCAGCTGTAACAATGCACCAACTTTTATTTTTAGAAACATCTGGCACAGGACATAACATGTAGTCATACGACTCTTGGCGAAGGATCGATTCTAGACTAAGTCGATCATTTCACAGTTTTGCAGCTTCCGGTTTGCTAGGTCAGGTTGAGAAAAAGGCCACAGTGAATGCTATCAAGAAGGACCTTCCTCCCATACTCAGGCCGTGGGGTAGAAAACTGGACACTAATCAGGAGACAGGAGAATCAAAGGGATTGGGACAAAAGCAGAGAAAATTTAGCAGGAGAGGAGAGTTGCTCCTTGAGTTTTGAGGGTGGATTTGGCAAGGTAGTAGTTTCTTGGAGTTTGTGTCTCTGGAACAGTGCCTGAGGGAAGCCATGCTCGTTGAATGGCAAGAAGCAGTGTGTTTATTATTATTTACTGTGGCCTTGCTATAAAGTCTCTCTTTGGGGAGAACAGTCACAGATAAAGAACCCAACCCTGACTGTTTCATGTGAATTAATCGAACTGGTTCAGTTTGTTAAGGTTGGTACGGGAAAGTTTAGTTGTGCCAAGGGGTGAAATCACTTCAAGGGAGCGCTACTGTAAAATTTGATTCAGACAATTCAGGAACAAAACCAAAAAGCACATGTTCAGACACGGTGTGTCCAAAATCTGGAACTCCCTCGCCAAGAGCCTTTGATTGCTGGAATCTTTCAAGTGACATCATCAGATTGTTATTCGGTGCCAAATATGAAGCAAAAGCAAGGAAATTCAATTCAGCTACAATATTTTACGATCTACTGAATGGCAGAATAGACCCGAGGGACTGAATGGTCTCCTGCTGTTCCCAGTGGTCTGCGGTGCAATGGTAGAATGAAAGGAAAGTCTGTAATAAGGAGGGTGAAACAATGGATTGCTATACCCATTGAGGGAAGGAAATCTGCTATCCTTATCCAGTCTGACCTACATGGGACTCCAGACCCAAAGCAATGTGGTTGACTCTTAACTGCCCTCTGAAATGGCCTAGCATGCCATCAGCTGTATCAAAACCCTCCAAAAAATGTTGAACTAATAAAATGATCAAAAAGGGCACTAGAAATGACAATGGTGTACCACGTCCAGTTGATTCTGCAAACTCCTTCTGACTTCTTGTGCCAAAATTAAAGCTGTCCACAGATGAATCATACTCTCCGACCTGTAGCTTGGAGACGTTGTGTGGGCAGGCCAGACCCAGGGGTGGCAGCACAACGGTATGCAGTCAGGATGGAGGGGCAATGGGAGTCCTCACTGTAAAGACTCCAGATCCCATCGAGCCTGAGAGCTTAGGTCAAACATAATCAAGGAAGTCTCCAGCTAAATATCTCCCATCATCCTCTGTCAACTAAGGAATGGGAGCTTCTCCATGTTGAACACAAATTGGAAGAAGTACCGAGGGTAGCAAGGGCACAGGATGCTCTCTGGTGAAAGAGTTCATTGTCCATCAGCAACAGTTAATCGATGGCTCCACCTCTAACTGAACTGGCTGAGTCCTAAAGGACATAGCTGCTTCTGCAGCAGGCGATGAAGGAACGATTATGAATGATACAACTTTCTTGATTTCAATTGTGGCAGCTGCTCTGTGCATTTAGAAGATTGATAGGAATCACCACCACTTCCCAGTCCCTGCGGAGGCAAAGTCTCACACTGAGGCTACCATCATGTTATGGTGGCTCTATCGACCTGCAAATAGGATACATGCAGAACAGATCCAGCAGCTCAAAGTTGTGCATCCAAGAGATGTAGCCTTATGGCCTGACATATCCCTTACACGACCATTGCCATCATTTCAATGCAGCAAACTTAGTTCTTAAAAATGAGGTGCCAGTTGCGTGAAGCTACTACATTGGACTAAATGCACGCCAACCAGTGGAAACCACACGTTGCAGACTGCTGAGGATGCCACAAATGACAGATCCGATCAAAGTTGTGAATGGGAGGAAGAGGTCCAACAAACGCCCCATCCTCAATGATAGCCTGAGTACGGAAGTCAAGGCTATAGAATCTGTGAGCCTCCTCACAGCCAGAGATGCTGAATGAGGTCTGTACCATCGCAGATACAAGTTTCCAGCCAATTTTAACTCATTCCATGTGATATCAAGAAATAGTTGAGTGCGCCAGATGTTGCAAAGTCTTCTGCCCAGCCAAGTTCTTGAAAATGGAATATTCCCATGTATATCCTCATCAATTACCATTCATCTGTAATCTCTTGATCATCAGCCAAGTAATGGAAGGTAGCGTTGATAGTGCTATCAAGTGGCACTTAAACAGAATGGCCACTCACTAATGCTCAGTTTGGGTTTGGCCTGGGCCGCTCAGGCTGCATTGGTTCATTTGATCCTGGTCATACACAGATCCGTGTACTTGAGTTCAGCCCCAGAAGCAATCTTATTTTTTTCCTCTCCGTTGACAGGGCCCGATGGATCACCACGATAGACAGGGGGTTCCCATTCAATGAACATCTGCAGTTTAAACTATCCGTGGGACATCCATGTCCTGATTCCCTGTAGATAATGAGGATTAGGTGTGTGGACAAAAATGCTGAAGTGCAGAGGTGAAGTGAGAGTGACTGCCCCTGACATTTAACACCCTTGAGCCTAAGCAAAATTGAAACTAATGCGAATATGGGGCAGTGAGTGCTCTCCATTGGTTAGAGTCAAACCCAGCACAAAGAATGTTCACTATTATTGAAGGCCATCACCAGAACCCCAGGATATTGCTGTGAGTTCCTTGTGGTAGTATCCTAGGGTCAATCATCTTCAGCTGCTTCATCAATGACCTTTTTACTGCCATAAGATCGGGAATAGGGAATATTCATAGCTAATTGTGCAACATCACTGCCCAAATACTCAAGTTGTCACTGTCCATACACAGCAAGAACTGGATAATGTTCTTGCCACACAAGTGCCAGACAATGATCATATCCAATAAGAGAAAATCTAACCATCTCCTATTGGTATTCAACGGCACTGCCATCCCTGACTTCCCCATAATCAACAATTCTGTGTGTTATCATTAATCAGAAACTGAACTGGACCAGCCTAATAAAGACTGGCCAGCAGAGCAGATCAGAGACTGGAAATTCTGAGGTGAGTAACTCACAACTTGACTCCAAAGGCCAATCCAACATCTACGATGCACAAGTAGAACGATGTTGCAAGGGTACATTGGGGAATGGCTTATGCTCTAATGTAATGAATGCAAAACCTTGAGCACAAAAATAGGTGATTGGATGGGCACTGTTTTGGATATGCATCAGGAAATGTAAAATGCCATCCTTCAGTTTTAACACAGGGCATGTTACACCTGACTTGAAAGTATAGATAACTTGCCTGTGGTGAACTGGTTAGTGTGCCAAGTATGGTTTAGAGCCATGAATTGTCTAAATTGTGCAAATGGAAATCATACTTAGATGTTGAAAACAGGAGGTGAGTCATAGCACCACAGATCTTAGAAATATTCGTGCCTCTACGTTCTTCAATTAGTTTCATGGAGTCTCCAGCTCTTCTGTCAGTATCCAGCAAATACTTTCTCTCTCATGATATCATCCAGTTTATTTTGCGAGGTTTCTTTGAACCTGATTTCACACCCTATCGGCAGCTTATTACAGGTCAGGGTAACTTGCTGTCTACAAAAATTTCCTTACGTCACCTCCATTAACTTTGCCAGTTCTTTGGCTCCGTGTCCCCTGACTCCTGTCCTTTTCAACTGGGAGCAGTTTCTCCTTGTTTACTTTTCAAACCTCTTCATGATTTTGAATATCTCCATCAAATCTCCTCTTAATCTTTGCTCTTCAAAGCAGACCAACCTCAATTTCTCCATTTTCTGCATGTTGCTCAAGTATCTCACTCATAAATCTCCTCCTTAACTTCTCCAAAAGCTTAACCATCTTCCTAAAGTACTAGGAAGCTCATAGGAACAGAGGGATCTTGGGTGCCTATCCACAGATCCCTGAAGGTAGCAGGGCAGGTTAAAAGGCTGGTTAAGAAGGCAGGATGGGGCAATTGCCTTTATCCATCATGGCATAGACTGTAAGAGCAGAGAATTCATGTTGGAGCTGAACAGAACTTTGCTTAGGCCATAGCTGGAGAACTGTGTCCAGTTCTGGTCACCAGGCTATAAAAAGGATGTGACTGTGCTGGGAAGGGTGCAGAGGAGATTCACCAGGAATAAGAGGAAGTAGTTTATCTATGACGAGAGGCTGGATAAGCTCTGGTTGTTTTCTTTAGAGCAGAGAAGGTTGAAAGGTGACCTGATAGAGGTATATAATGTTATAAAGGGCATGGACAGGGTGAATAGAAAGCAGCTGTTGTTAAGGGTCAATAACAAAGGGGCATAATTTTAAAGTGAAAGGCAGGAGTTTTAGAGGGGATTTGAGGAAAGTCATTTTTACGAGAGAGGGTGGTTGGTATGTGGAATACACTGCCTTCGGAGGGTAGTTGAGGCAGGAAACCTCACAACATTTAAAAAAAATACTTGGATGAGCACTTGAAATGTCATATCATTCAAGGCTAAGTGCTGGAAAGTGGGACTCGTGTAAACTTAGAATAGTTTAGTTGGTGCAAAAACGAGGGGCCTCGTCTGTACTTTGATTCTGTGGTGCAGAGGATTAACCACAGTACACTAGTTGAGGTGTAATCAGTGTTTCATAAA